GTTCTACCACTAACTAAATACATTTTCTTGAATTGTGTAAATTGTCATGAAATAAAAGAAACAAGAGAACTTACATTCCTATTTAAAATACACACACAGTGTTACCTTATGTCCGAAAAAGTCTTGGACACAACATCAAGTGCCGAAACAGTTTAGTTATATTGTTCCGCCATAGCTAGCCCGCCCCCCCAAAAAACCTTTCGAGGAGCCCCGATAAATGGTTTGTTGAGGACAATCTACTTTGACACACGTTCTTTCGTCTGACCCTGAAAACGCATTTCGACTTAATCCGTATAATAATACCTTTCAAAACTGTGCACCGCCTGTTCCCAGAAGATAAGAAGTATTTCATTAGACTATAAATATACGTCAAAATATCCATTGTCAGATCTAAGTAATTTTGCGTTGCCCACATGGGAAAGTATACTTGTAAATGGTGACAGATTAATACTGTGCCGTTATAGCACAATGTCGTTATTAAATTAAATGATTATTTTTTGACTTAGTAAATCATTTTCTGGTTGAATAGGTGAAAATGTAATATTAAATGATTGGATTCATGTCAGAATTCCGATAACTCGTACGTAAGGATATTAAACCATATCTGTTGCCTTCGGTAAATCACCATACGTATCTCGTTTATCACCAAACAACAACAACACTACGATAAAGACTTGGCGTTTTTGAAATTGTGAAATTCTTTCGTATTTTTGGCAGAAAACCCCGCAAAAAACTGATTTTGACAAGATAATTCAGAAATATAATTAAGAAATGTATTCCCTGTGCACCCATAAAAAATGTTGTAATTACTGCTTTCACAAGAAATTACAGAAAAAAGATAATTTTCTATATTCTCTATATGTTTGCCTTTTATGTGTCTAGAATTATACCTAAAAGAAGCTGAATGAAATTACAAACTATGTGTTCAACAACGCATGTCATGTTGTTATCTAATAAATTTGCAACGATATAGCATACATATTTGATTATCAAGTTGAAATGACAGCAAGGCAATGCTTATTTGCATAAAGTTGAAATAAACTTTCGAGACGCGATTATTTTCCCAGCGTGTTTTCAGTCAGCAAAGTCATAATGTACGCGCAAAGGTCAGTGACATGTTGCAGATTTGACCATTGGGAAAACATTGTCGCAGATACACTTGTGAGAATCCATCGCTTTACGCTATACACTATAACCTCAATATAATGAACACATAGCATGTCTCCCGCTCACCCAATAAAAACCAGTGTATTATGTGCTTAATTATAGTGAACATTTCACTATAACAAACTAATTGTATGTCCCCCGAAGAGTTCGTTATAACGAGGTTACAGTGTATTATGGGAGATCTGTAGACAGAAACGAGTTGTAATTCCACAGTACACGGTGTTAATAGCAATCTTACCTCCGCCATGTTCCAGTATAAATTCAATGATGTTAATTTTATTGTTGCCTGCAGCATAGTGCAACGCCTGGGCACCTTTACTATCTTGTAAACTTATTCTTTCTGGGTTCAGTTTGTGAATCTTTTGAAGTTCTTGTAGATTTCCTGCCGCAGCAACCTGTTAAAAAAGATATCCAACAATTTATTCTGTGATACGTGTTAGTTTACAATAAATAATTTATTTTTTTCTGTATTCATATAGAGCTGAATTTCTAAAGCAAATAATGCAAAGAAGTCAAATCCCATACATTATGATATATTGATGATGTACTTCCCACCAACATCCCTAAATTTAGTGATTAAAGTCCAATGATATACCCGTGCCTTGAGTTTGACTCTAATGGCCAGCTTTCCACCAGACTATATGACAAGGGAGATGATTTTGATTATACTATCATCAATTTTCCCCACCTTCACAGCAATTACACACCCCTTCCTACATATAGGGTATATATTTTCCAACTCATTTACTATGCCTCAGCCTGTAGTACATATGCAGTCTTGAATCATATAAATTTCCCTTAAAATGTTGACTATGTAGTGTTATTGTTTTGTTCTTCTATATTGTTTTGTCAATCGTTGTCAGTCATATTTTGCGTTCTTTTCCCTATACTACTTTTGTATAAAGTTTGACGGTTGGGTATGTTATTTCTCTTTTTATGATAATATTATGTCTTGTGGAATAAGATTAATAGTAATATATCTTGCTTTCGGGAAACTCCTTAGACAAACATCGGTACGGCATATGCGCAACCGAATGGCGGCAACCAATCAGCTGTCACCAGTTTGACATTTCTTTATCGACGTTGAATTCACCAATGTATTAACCTAATTACTCCATTGATTGTTTATATGACTGTTTTCTATTAAATTATTTTACCGAATTATTGCCGTCATTATTAATGATAAAATATTAACGTAAATTCAGAAACAATAGACATCTGACTAAAAGTGCAGAAGAATGTGAGAGACAATGAATCAATGATCAAGAAGAATAACATTTGATGGAAATTTCAAATTAAATATAATTAATTTACAAATTAATGTATCCTTATATTTACACCGACAGTCGCCGATTTTCATATATTGCTCATTTACATATATATTGAATTCTTCTCAGTATATAATGTAAAAAAGTGTTCACGTAAAACAAATGCAACAGATGAAAACATGAGATTCACCAATTGAACACACTTCTTTACGACGTCATATCGACCACGGACATCGAATTAGTCCACTGTGCAAATATATGGATGACAATGCTCAGTATACTATCCCTATAATCAGTGAAATGAATTATGTCATTGTTAATTATTAAAACTGAGATGTTCGTATGATTGCATGATTCGGTTCGAAATTTTTCTGGTCTCTGAGCGAGGTCATACTCAATTGATTCAAAATATTAGTCTTGACACAATTATTGATTGTGCTATACACTTCCACATACTTTTGTTCTCATTATTGATTTTTGTTAAAATACTTGTGTGTAAATTAATTTGCAGTGTACACATCCGATGCCAGCTTTACATTAATTAAACACGCAAGTTAAATGTGTAATGAGTTGTTCAGTGTTTGGTTATGTTTCAAGATTTTATAACTTTACTTGTACACCACAATAGAAAGAGCGTTTCATGTTATAACCGATTTGTAACATGGCTGCAAAATTAAGAGTATCTTTGGCACTTTGTGTCGATTTTGTGTTTTATTTTCACTATCGATTTCGCCATTAATACTGTTATTTTTAGTATCAGTGTTGATTCTCATAGCTAAATTGATACATGATCAACGAGAATTTCGCTACAAATCGAACAACATTATGAAGTTCCATGCACCCGCTCCAAACGTTCACAGGAATCGTGAATCCTGATTGGTGAATCGATTCGAGCATGTTCATGAAGTGTTCATATTTAAGAAAAATGATATTTGAATAATAAAGGTTTATTTCAATTTATCGACACGTCTGTGGTATGTATCATAACATGCAAGATAGGTAGTTGAATTTTGGATATCATATTAGGTGGATTATCACCGACATATCGGTTTTAGGTCACAACGAATTTCCATGCAGTGATGTGTATACACTATCCAACTGAAATGTGTTTTCTCGAGATAACCATATCAGCAGAAAATTCTTTTTGTGAGAATATAAGCTGAACAAAGCTGTTTCAACTTTCTGCGTTTTAAATGATTTATACGCTTTGCGATATACGACTAATTTGACAGGCATTAAATTCTGAAAAGGAAGTATACATTTCAATAAACACTTCTGCTCTTAAACATTAAATGGCAAGCCGCTTAATCGAGTTAATATAAAAAATACACAATTTAATGCTAGGAATGCACGATATTTATCGTAATTTCATACCATTTCAGTACGTATAATTCCGATTTATACATCTTTCGTGTTAGTATGATAAATTATTGTGCACGTGGTTGTCCAGACATGCGTATTAATTCACAAACCCTATTTCATTATAATAAAACATTTTACCGTGATTTTAACGATACATGACGTCATGCTAGATTTGCGTTAAAATCAATAAATAGATTTAGTTCAAGAAAACTCATCAGTTCATTTTTTTTATATATATTTCGTCCAACACATAGTTCTAAATATCTAGTAGAACACACGTTGACATTGTATTATGTCATTTTAAGCGATCGTGGCTCAGTGCATAAATGTAGTAGCATACTTACTTTAGCTACAGTGTCGTAACTCTTACTCATTTCTTGCCAAATCAGTTAAATCTTAAGTTAGAGACATTACCGAGTAGCCGAATTAATTAAAATACACGCGCACGAACACACACGCGTCACACACACGCATCAAACACACAGACCCGCAAACGTCGAAACTTATAAGCAATTATTTTAAAATGGATGGCATATATATGTGATAAACACATTCTCAATTAATGGATAGCTGTTATGTCGTACCGCACATATCATAGTCATTGATGAGTTCAGGTTTCCTTGCCACAGACACATTAGTGTCACTATTACCAAGGGGGGCGACTGATAGATCATCTGACAAATTCATGTTCTCAGTTCACCTTTTCTAATATATCATTGAGGTTTAAAATAAACATTCGGTGCACTGGCTGGTTGGAATAATACAACCAATTACGCCGAGTAAAGAATAACAAACAAATGCATCAATTTCTATGTAACGTTTTATAGACAACTGATTCCCATTGGGCGGTAATTTGAATAAAATTTGGAAAGACAATGTTTTCCTCCGCGATTCCACGCTATTACGCACTGGCACAATGTACAGGACACTTATATATATTTTGACAACAGCAAAATGGAAGCCTTTCAGTTCATTACTTCGCTTCATGAAGCTTATACTGTGCAATATATCACTCTCTAATAAACATAGACAGTTACAATTCATTGTCAGAGACACAATCTCTGATTGGAATCTAAACAAAGCCACATAGCAGACAATAACATTTACGACCTTTTAACACCAACCTATCAGTGAGAATATTGTAAAGTTACTGAGCGAGGTTCCCGCACAATACCCGTTCAGACATATCTCAAATTTACTAATTTATTTTTTCGATTTACGTAGACATGGAGTTGTAATCTCAGATTAACTCAGAAAAGAAGCATTCAGAGAATTTATTTCTATTATATTCATCTTTTTATGCAGAATATAAAATTATTTATTACACAATATTTTTTGGGAACAAATAACAAATGTGATATGAAATAAAATGATTTAAATAACACGTCTGATTATTTAATTTTAATTTAATACTCGTTTATTTCCACACCAATGGTTTCACATACTGTAAAGGGGGTAATTATTCACTGTGTTTTAATTTAGCTTATTTCGCTGAATGGAAAAATGCGCAAAATTAAAACACAGTGAATATGTAAAATTTAGCATAGAACACATTATCTAAATGACGAAACCGTGAATTTAAAACCCACTGAATATGCCTGAAATGGTAAATCAGTGAAATTTAAACCCAGTGAAAATTAGTCATTTTACAGTATTTCATTTGTGTTTACTTTCCACGTGAATTCAATTTTTAATCCACATCAATGGGGCATTGATGTAGCCTCAGACCATTGTTTAAACGGTACAGTAAACCATCATGGGTACAACCAGTTAGCTCAAACATACAGCATGTGTACCCTACTTAGTTTAGTTGCGGGAGCAATATTATAAATGGCATTTTTTTACAATTATGTGGCAGTTCAGTAATGACATATAAATTGTAGCTGGTACCGCA